TCCCAGAAGACGCAGGTGTCCGCTAGCTCCAACTCCCAGAAGCCCTGCTCTGCTGGGAAAGACATTAACCCCGCCAGCAGGTGGTAACATGCACAGCATTGTTCGTTCTGCTCTGCCTCGGGCTGGCCCACGTGTCTTCCCGGGAGGGGCGCCGCCCCTGCATGCCCCCCTGCCCTGCCCTCCCACTCCCCGGCTTTCTTTCCTCTCTGGAGCAAAAGGCCTTCCCCCACACACACACACACTCCTTCCCCCGCGAGGCTCGATAGAATTAAAATGTTCAGATCTGCCCGGCGTTGATTGAATGGGAAACCGCTCTGCGGCTCATTTAAGGGGCCCATTTTTCTTTGCTAAGTATAATTTGCTCAAAAGTCTCTCCCGGCGTGTCATCGCCCAGATGCCAGAGCCCAGAAAAGCCCCTCCGCCTCCGGGCGGGTGACTTATTTCCCGGGCCTGTCAGGCGGCAGCCAGAGAGAGAGAGAGAAAGAGAAAATGCAACGCTTGGAACTGGCCGAGTACAAGAAGCCCTTCCAAAGAGAGATGTCCAGAGGGTGTTTGTGCACTTGTGCTCTCTCTCTCTGTGTGTGTTTCTGTGTGTGTGCGTGTGTGCACACAGCCCCCAGGAAGATTTTGGTCGGGGTGGGGTACCACAATTACAGCGGACCTCCCAGCCACATAGATCAGTTCCACTGGAGAAAGGGGCAGCTTCTGAGGCTGGCCACGATGGCATTGCCCTCCCCTGGGGTCCCTCCCGTACCACAGCCCCGCCTTCCACATCCCCAGGAATTTCTCAACCTGGAGTGGAGAGGCCTGAAGTCTTTGGGGGCTGTGGATCCTCAGAGCCGGTGGCTGGTTCTCACCTTGGGGAACTGCAGTGAGGAGGGGGCCGGTGCATGGGGGAGGCATTCAGATCCTGCCCTCAGGCCACCCACGGCCCGGTCCAGGAGGGGTACCCCGCTTGGGGCAACGCCACGTTTTGAGCCAGCCCCGCCTGTTGCGTCTCCAAAAGTGCTCGTCTCTCCGACTGATGGTCGGCTCACGTGAAGAGTGTCAATCTGGGCCAGTGTTCCCTCTAAGTTGAGTCTGTGTGAGCCAGCTCACAGTTTTCTAGCCTCCAGCTCGCATGTTTTTGTCTCAGCTCAGGGAGGATGGCTCTAGATTTATGATTTATGCAGGAGCCAAATCACCTGCTCACAACTTTAATGCCAGGAGCTCTCCAAGTAGAATTTTTGCTCACAAGACTCCACAGCTTAGAGGGAGCATTGGTCTAGGCCAGTGTTGGCACACCTTTTAGAGACCGAGTGCCCAAACTGCGACCCAAAACCCGCTTATTTATCGCAAAGTGCCAACACGGCCATTTAACCTGAATACTGAGGTTTTACTTTAGAAAAAACAACTCATACATTAACTTAAGATGATCCAAACAAAGTAAGGAAAGCAATCCCAAATGCTTTCATTTACTTAAAATTATTTGGCAGAGAATTCGACACTTTAATGATGGTCTGGGCCTGGCTGGGGCAATGGCACGCGTGCCCACAGAGAGGGCTCTGAGTGCCACCTCTGGCACCCGTGCCATAGGTTCACCACCACTGGTATAGTGTTTGCCAAATGGATTAAAATTACATAGGAATTTCAACGCTACCCACTCTGATAAAGTTTGTACAATGTGTCCACAGAGAGGGCTCTGAGTTCCACCTCTGGCACCTGTGCCATAGGTTCGCCACCACTAGTCTAGGCGGTCATCTGGTCCAGCATCCTTTGGCCAATCAGCTGCCTTCTGGAAGGACCCCAAGTGGAAGCAAAGTCTACCTCCCCGTTGTCCCCCCCCCCAGCTTTTGGTCTTTTGAAATTAACTGCTTCTGAATATGGAAGCTCCATTTAATTGGCGTTTCTATGTCTCTACAAATTGCTGAGAGACCTGTCCACCATGAATTTGCCCCGCTAGATGTCCACTTTCTTATTGTGGGTTTGCCGAGGGCTTTTGGCCCAGTAAGGGGAAAGCCATTCTCACATGCTCAGAGGCCCTTCCTTTTAGATTGTTGCTTCACGTATGCAAGGATTGAGCCGTAGCTTTGCAAACAGCTTCTGGGGCTCAGCAGTCATCCAAATCCTAACAGGTAGGAGGGTGGTTCACAATGGATGGTCGGGCAAAGTTTTGCCTGGGCCTCTTTCATTAAAGCAAGTTTCTGGCCCTCATCATGGATGGCCTCTTCCTTTCTTAAAGGAACGGAACGTGGAATGTTTCCGCCCCTGATGTGCACATCTGTGCTTGTGTTCCAGGGTCCCCTCACTGCTGGTTTGCACACCTGCATGGGTAGATGGCACACCCCGCAGTCACCCCACATGCTCCTTTGCCAACAGAGTGCCAGTCCAGGTCGTTCTATCCTTTTCTGCAGGATATTCCGAGACGTTCTTCAAGGGGGGGATAACTGGGGCCGTTTTGGGGAGAGGGTCCTCGTGGGTGGGGCAGGCAGGATTTCCAGGCAGGGGAGGGGAGGCAGAGGATCTTCGCCAAAGAGTCGCCGTTCTTGCTGCCTCAGCAGCAGAGGAGAGACTGTCATCCATCATGCGGAGGGAATCCAGGCAGCAGGAAGAAGCAAGTGCCAGCAAGAGGGGAGGGGAGGGGAGGGATCATTGCAGGCTGGACCGACACAGCAGCTCATACCAAAGCAGAGCAAAGACCCTGGTCTTCCCCGGGTCAGAGCAGAGCACAGAGGGGCTGTGGCTCTGAGGCTGAGCCTCTGCTCGACATAGTGGCTCAGTGGAAGAGCCTCTGGTTGGCATGCAGAAGGTCCCAGGTTCAGTCCCCGGCATCTCCAGTTAAAAGGACCAGGCAGGAGGTGATGGGAAAGACCTCAGCCTGAGACCCTGGAGAGCTGTAAAGAGGGGCCGTGGCTCAGTGGCAGAGCCTCTGCTTGGCATGCAGAAGGTCCCAGGCTCAGTCCCCGGCATCTCCAGTTAAAAAGGACCAGGCAGGAGGTGATGGGAAAGACCTCAGCCTGAGACCCTGGAGAGCTGTAAAGAGGGGCCGTGGCTCAGTGGCAGAGCCTCTGCTTGGCATGCAGAAGGTCCCAGGCTCAGTCCCCGGCATCTCCAGTTAAAAAGGACCAGGCGGGAGGTGATGGGAAAGACCTCAGCCTGAGACCCTGGAGAGCTGTAAAGAGGGGCCGTGGCTCAGTGGCAGAGCCTCTGCTTGGCATGCAGAAGGTCCCAGGCTCAGTCCCCGGCATCTCCAGTTAAAAAGGACCAGGCGGGAGGTGATGGGAAAGACCTCAGCCTGAGACCCTGGAGAGCTGTAAAGAGGGGCCGTGGCTCAGTGGCAGAGCCTCTGCTTGGCATGCAGAAGGTCCCAGGCTCAGTCCCCGGCATCTCCAGTTAAAAAGGACCAGGCAGGAGGTGATGGGAAAGACCTTCGCCTGAGAGACCCTGGAGAGAGAGCTGCTGCCAGTCTGAGTTGACGAGACTGGTCCCGATTTTGGGGTGGGTGGGAGTCTGATTCCGTACCAGGCAGCTTCCTGTTTCTACAGCTGCACCCAGCCAGGGCTCCGGGGTTCCCCAGGACAGGACTGAGGGCCGGGGTGCCTGGCCTTAGGACCAGTGGCCGGGCTGCATGGAAGACCCAGTGTGGTGTAGTGCTTAGGAGCACGGACTCTGATCTGGGAGAACTGGGTTTGATTCCCCACTCCTCCACTTGCAGCCAGCTGGTGTGACCTTGGGTCAGTCACAAGTTCTCTCAGAGCTCTCTTAGCCCCACCCGCCTCCCAGGGTGCCTGTTGTGGGGAGGGGGAGGGAAAGGAGTTTGTAAGCCGCTCTGAGACTCCGAGTGAAGGGCGGGGTATAAATCCAATCTCCTCCTGCTCTTCTTCTCCTGGGCTCTCCAGTGGGGGCGGTGTCAGCAAAGCCGGGGGGGGGGGCTGCTGTTAGCAGGGACTGTTTCTGGTGCGGGGAGGGGGACCCTTGGATAGAAAAGGGGCCGGGAAATTGCACAGGTTGCCCCCCCCCCCCTCAGGTGCCTGTCTCTTTTCCGGCTGCATCACAGTTTCCTCCTCTCATGCCCAGTTTGGGAGGACGCATCCGTCAGAGACCACTCGGCTCTAGAATGCCACTTGCTGATGGCCGAAGGGTCCCGGGGCCTCTGTGGAGGAGGAGAGGGCAGGGCTGAGGGGCACGCAGCGTCCTCCATTAGGATTGAGGAAAGGGCTTGTTCTGTCGGCTGGATGCCTGGTGGGACATAAGAACGTAAGAGAAGCCAATGTTAGATCAGGCCAGTGGCCCATCCAGCTCAACATTCTGTGTCACACAGTGGCCAAAAATGCCAGGGGCCCTCAGGAGGTCCAGCAGTGGGGCCAGGACACCAGAAGCCCACCCGCTGTTTCCCCCCCCCCCGAGCACCAAGAAGACAGAGCATCCCTTGCCCCAGACTGCAAGTTCCTATCTTAAGAACGTAAGAGAAGCCAAATGTTGGATCAGGCCAATGGGCCGTCCAGTCCAGCACTCTGTGTCACACAGTGGCCAGAAATACCAGGTGCCATCAGGAGGTCCAGCAGTGGGGCCAGGACACTGGAAGCCCCCCCACTGTTGACCCCCCCCCCGCACCAAGAACACATTTGGGGCCTGCCGTCCAATTCCCTTATTCTTGCCCCCTGCTGTCTGTGGTGGCTGCCCCATCTCCTCTGGCTCCTGCCCCCCTCCCCCAGCAAACCTGGTCCAGAATCACCACAGGCTTGGGCCAGCCGGGACCCTTCGCTGCCCCCTCACCCCCATCCCGGCTGGGGGGCGCCTCTTCCTGCTGTGGCTCGGGCTCCTCCGAGGTCTGCACGATGGGCTCAGGAGCTGTCTGGCCCATTAACTGGTATCTCTCGTGGACTCAGACCCTCGTCGGCCAAATTTAGACCCCGGTGGGCTTGCAGAAGGCCCTCACTTGGGGGTCAGTTTCTGGCATCTCCACTTGAAAGGGAGCGGGTGCTGGGAGAGGCTTCCTCGGCCGGAGACCCTGGAGAACCATGGCCAGGCCGTGGAGGAGGCCCGGTGGGGCTTTCTGGACCGAGGGCCTGGCCTGGCACACGAGAGGACAGGTTTCTCAGTGGCGCCGTGCCAAGGGGTCCCAGGCCCAGGGCTGGTCCCTCACAGCTCCAGGTGGTCAGGCGGGGAAGGGCCTCTGCCGGTGCCCTCAAAAAAGGACAGCCGGTCAGAGAGGCTCCACACTTGGAGGAATGAACCAATGGTTGGGTTTTGGATATCGTCCTGGGCCACAATAGAGCCTCACAGAGCCAGTTTGGTGTAGAGGTTAAGTGCGCGGACTCTAATCTGGGAGAACCGGGTTTGATTCCCCACTCCTCCACTTGCAGCTGCTGGATGACCTTGGGCGAGCCGTAGTTCTGTCAGAGCTGTTCTCTCAAGGGCTGGTCTTGAGAGAGCTCTCTCAGCCCCACCTACCTCCCAGGGTGTGGGGAGGGGAAGGGAAAGGAGTTTGTGAGCCGCTCTGAGACTCCAAGCGAAGGACAGGGTATAAATTCAATCTCTTCTTCTACAGAACAACATACGCACAGAGAATTTTATTGTTTGTGCGTCTTTCAAGACACAGTTGTTTTAACATTTTCCTGGGCAAACATTCCAATTTTGAGACGTTTTTTCCTGTAGCTGCCCTTTCTCCAGATGTCGGATATGGTTATTGGGGTATTTAAATTCATATAAGAGGCTCATCTCAATGTCAACATACATGTTTCTGAGGTCGATGAAACCAAACGCACCATTCTATTAGTTGTGGAGACAGCCGTTTTTATGTATTTATTTATATCCGACCCTTCTCTCCAGTGGAGACCGGAAGCGGTTTCTGCCGTTCTCCACTCCTCCATTTGATCCTCACAACAACCCTGTGGGGTAGGTCAGACTGAGACCATGTGACTGGCCCAAGGTCACCCAGAGAGCTTCTGTCACATGAGTGGGGATTCGAACCTGGGTCTCCAGCGGTCTTACCCACTACACCAGGGGTGGCCAAACTTGCTTAATGTGACAGCCATGTAGAATAAACGTTGGATGTTTGAGAGCCGCAAGACATGAACAAATATTACACACACATTTTTATTGAAAAAATATGCAAATTTGCTTCTTGTTAACATTAAATTAGACTATGTGAAAGAGCCACATGTAGCTGTAGCTTGGCCACCCCTCCAGTTTGGTGTCGTGGTAAAGTGCGTGGACTCTAATCTGGGAGATCTGGGTTTGATTCCCCACTCCTCCTCATGCAGCTGCTGGTGTGACCTTGGGTCAGTCACAAGTTCTCTCAGAGCTGTTCTCTCAAGGGCAGTTCTGGAGAGACCTGTCTCGGCCCCGCCTACCTCACAGGGTGTCTGTCGTGGGGAGGGGGAGGGGAAGGAGGTTGTAAGCCGCTCTGAGACTCCGAGTGAAGGGCGGGGTATAAATCTCTTCTTCACTGCACCACGGTGGCTGTAGAGATCTTGATGGAACCGCGGAGTGGAGAGGTTGGGGCAGGGACTGGTCACTGAAGCTGGCAGGACCTGAAACCGGTCGAAGGTCCCTTCTGATTTTGCAAAGGACACTCCCAGAGCTGCCAGTCCTGGGCACTGACGGGGGGGAAATTCAGCCCACGAAAGGTGCCCTCCTCTTCTGGGCCGGGCGCTTGGCTCCGGAGACCTGATGCCGTTCCCCACATTTCTATGCAGTAACGTAATTGGCAAAGCGAGTCTTGGGCTCTGATTGACGCTGTCCTTGCTGCAATGCCCTCTTCCTTCTTCTCCCCCCCCC